AATATGGGGGGGGGTCAAACAGATCAAATGATAAAATGCTGATCTGTAAATGATACTCCTGACAAGGACAGATATGACCACGGTATCTTTACATCTACATCATGTAGAATGTTCTTTGCATAATGCAAAGTCACAGACAAGGGGAAAACGTGGTTTCATGTCAGAAGCACTCTCGGTAATATGAAATACACAATGACCCAAAGGAAACTTGACATAAGCAGAATAGAACAGGCGTCATGCTGGTTACTCCAAGTGGAGTAATGAAAGTGACTAAAATTTCAGAGAGTTTCTTTTATTTTTAACTTAATTCCCCTAACATTCTGAGAAATTCAATAAATATTTGTCCTTATTCGTTAAATCAATCTTAGTGATCACCAATCACTATAAAAAAATCCCTTTTAATAAAAAAAAATGACCAAGTAGGATATCAAAGGGGAAATCAATTGAAAGTGCTTTATATTAACTTATCATCATTCTTTATTTTAAATGATGAAAAGAGGGGGAAAACCAAATATTTCCCATCAATTTTAAATGATACGATCATTTTTTAAAAATTAGATTAAAACATCAAAACCTTCAGATACATCAGCCAAATGAGGACCTGAAAAGACTACAAATTTGCAAACGCAGAATTATCTCTGAAGATAGTTTTATCTTTTGTTTAGATACCAAATATTTTAAAGATAACTCATTTTCCACCACCAGTACTACTACCCAGCACAGACTGCATACTAAGAAATGGTAACCCATGAGAAAGAACAGGGTATTTATCCTGCCCATTATTATAATAAGAATTGTGGCTCGTTCTGGGTTGATAAAGACTGTTCCTAGTAGTGAATGACTACAAAGCTTTGTTTCTAGTTCAGTTGTTTTTTATTTATTATTTTTATTTTATGTGTATGTGTGTATTGCCTGCATGTAGGTAAGTGCATCCATGTTGTACAATGCCTGTAGAGGTCAGAAGAGGCTGTTGGATCCCCTGGGACCGTAGTTACAGACAGTTGTTTGCTGCCTTGTGGGTGCTGGGATTCGAACTGGGGTCTTCTGCAAGAACAACCAGTGTTTTTAACCGCTGAGCCATCTCTCCAGCCCTTTAGTTCACTTTTATAGATGAATCTTTTCTTAGTAAAAGTTTAGAGAAAAAATGCAAATAGGGCATTCTATATTACTATTAATATTAGTCTTTATCACACTATTTAGGAACAACCAGAAAGACAGAACACCAACAAAACACAGTGAAAAATAAAAGTTTATAGGATATCATATTGGATTGGGGGAAGGGGGGGTTGGGTTGCAAAGAAAATGTCTCTGATATTAATATTTGAGTTTGGAATATTGGCATTTTAGCATAATTATAATACAAAAACAAATGTGACTCAATAGCACTTCTTAAATGCTGCTTTTCAACCACCACTTTTCTAAAAGTTAAACTACTGTCCTGGATGGGTTGAGGTAGAATGAGTTGTAATAGAAACGCATTTATTCAATGACTACTTACTGATCATATTATTATTTATGATACACAGATACATAAGAAAAGTCAAATTCTACATAATATATTTTCAATTTCCAAAATTCTTAGCTAGAATCTCAGGAGATAAGTGGTTAAAAAAAACTTACCACTAGTATTAAAAGCCATACAGCACACTGGCTTCTCATGGGCAGGGAAGTGGGCCACAATGCCATCACTGTCTGAGTCCTCACTCACAAGCACCTTCAGAAAAGGAAAGAACACAAAAGAAGGTTAACCTTTGTCACCAACAGCTCAGAGGCTACACCAGATACACCTCAGTATCTCAAACAAAATGCTTCCACTATACTGGAAGACTGTTCCCATCAAAGTGAGAATTCCACTTTAGCAATCAGAGAAGATATGCTATGCCCCACACAGGTGGCTGTATAAATTTCAAAGCGAACCACTTGACATGGCTATAGATGACAAAGACAAGTATTACTTCAACTATAGATGAAGTAGTGAAAAAAGTCAAAATAACTCTGTCCCATACAAACTGCAATCAGACACTGTTTTATTCAAGGACATCAAATACCAATCTTACTATATTCAATTTAATCATAATTTTCCCCATTGTTAAAAAGAGAACAGTGAAAAATCTAACAAGCTCAAATAAACCAAATTATAATGGCATAATGGAGTAAAGGCTATTTTATTTTATTTTTAATAAGTTTTACTTTTAATTATTGTATGTGCGCAGGAGGGGGGGTCACACACATACCACAGACGAGAGTGGAGGTCAGACAATAACTTGAAGAAAGAAGTTCTCTCCTTCCACCATGTAGGTCTCAGGGATCAAACTAAGGAGGTCATCGGGTTTGGCAGCAAGCACCTTTATCCACTGAACCATCTTGCTGGTCCAACAATTTTATTTTGAAGAATAAAAGCTGTAGTCTAACTTTCAGTTTATAGACAGACAAAGATGCTCTTTGAAAATGCTGTTTTACCATGTTACAGACACACAGGAAGATGAGGCAAGGTCAGGGCTGCATAGCAAGAGACTAACTTTTTTTTAAGTTTATTTTTATTTTACATGTATGAGTGTTTTGCCCACATTTATGTAAGTACACCAATGTCATGCAATGCCCACAGAGGCCAGAAGAGGGCAAAGATCCTCTGGAACTGTTTGTTAGCTGCTATGTGGGAACCAAACCTGGATCCTCTGCAAGAGCAGCCTCTGCTTTAACTGTTGAGCCATCTCTCTGGCCCCAAGAGCCTAAAAATTGCTGGTAATATTCTACTACAACAGGTCAAAATCCTTCTAGATGTTGAGGGTATATAACAATGTAACTCTTGCCCAGAAAGATACAGAGTAAATAAGTAAATCAACTACTTCTTTAGTTACCACTTATTTGCAAATTAGACACAAAAAGAAATGTATTTAAGCACTGTTGCAGCACTTAAACATGTCAGAGGTTTACATAGGTTCCATTCACTTGCCGTTGGTTGCCGATTTCAACCTCATAGCGCAATGTAATACACTACCAAACCATTACAACAAGCTTATACATAAAAAGGTATGAAAAGTCACCCTCCTCTAATTGTTATGCTTTAAATTTCTTGTCTTATTGCTCTGGCTAGACCTCTAATTCAGCCTATAAATATTTTAATTGTGTTATCTTTTCAGACTACCAATTATAGATTTTCTGCACTACTTTATTATTTATCTGACTTATGTTCAGATTGCATACAGTTAATTGCTTCATTTTTTCACAATGGCGATACTGTGTTCTTCTCTGTGTTAATTTTGTTAAGGAGAAAGCTTAGTTTATTAAGAATACTTCCCTCTCCTAATGGGCATTTAAATCTACAAATTCTGTTCCACATGATACTATAGCTACACTCTGCAAATGTCAGTACATTTTATTTCCACTAAGTTCAAAATATGTTCTAATTTTACTAAACTTCTTTGACTCATGAGTTATTTACAAATATACTGTTATACTGGCAAATATTTAGAGATCCTGTAAGTTTTACATTTCCACTGTGCTTAGAAAACAAATTTTGTTGGGCCTATGAGAAAGCTCAGCAGTTAAAAGTGCTTGTTCCAGAGTAGAAAGATGGCTCAGCAGTGAAGAACCCATATCGCTCATGGGTTCTCGGCATCCATGTGTGCTGCTCATGGGTTCTCAGCATCCATGTGTGCTGTCAGGCAGATCACAACCACCTGCAATTCCAGTTCCGGAGATCCAACGACTCTGGCATCCAAGGGCACCTGCACTCATGTGCACACATCCATATACAGACACATAACTAAAAATAATAAAAATAATTTTTTAGAAGTGTTTGTCCCACAGCCTGATGACCTGAGTTCAATCCCTGGAGCCCACAGGAGAAGGAAAGCCCACAGTAAGTTGCCCTCTGACCTCCACATGTACACCTTGGCATGAGTGTACACACACACACACACATACACAATAATTTTTTTTTTAAAGACATGATTTGGGGGCTGGAGAGATGGCTCAGCGGTTAAGAACACTGACTCTTCTTGCAGAAGACTCAGGTTTGAATCCCAGCACCCACATAGCAGCTAACAACTGTCTGTAACTCCAGTTCCAGGGGATCCGAAAGCCTCATCTGTCCTCCACAGACACTGCATGACATGGGTGCACTTACATACATACAGGCATAACACTCATACACATAAAAAAATTAAAATTAAAAAAGACGTATGATTTTTAACCATTTAAAGTAACTGAGATTTGTTTTCTAGCCAAGCATATGCTTTATTGGAGTGTTTCAGGCAGTCTTGAAAATAAATAGCACTCCTCAGGTCTTCATTCCAATATGAGATCAAATTGTTTGGAATATTAATTAATAAAATATTTTAAATGTTCATTATTTTTCTGTGTAGTTTTCTGTCCATTATTAAGTATACTAAAATTTGAGCTGAAATTTTGAGGTACATGTTTCCCTTCAATTCCCACGTTTTCTAGGACTCTATTGTTGGCTGTTTAGTAGTAATTATCCTTACGTACAATAAAGGTAAAATTGTTACATTATGGAAAGTGTCTCCTGATCCCTGGTCCTTGCAGGCCAGTCAGCCAAGCCTAATCAATGAGCCCCATGTTTCAGCGAGAGACTCTGTCTCAATAAACAAGGTAGGCAGCTTCTAACAACACCTGAGGTTGACCTTTAGCCTCCATAAACATGTGGCTGCATAACCATGCACTCAGTAATAGGAACGAACACACACACACACACACACACACACACACACACACACACAAAGTCCCTGTATATTTTTTCACTTAAAATCTTTTGTCTGACATTAATATAGCCATTCCAAAGTAATTCTTGTTTGCATGATATTTCTGTTTTCAAAAAATGTGGTCTTTCAATCTAAACTTGCTCCGTATAGTCAGTACCTTTTTTTTTTTTTTTTTTTTTTTTTTTTTTGGTTTTTGAGACAGGGTCTCCCTGTACTATAGCCCCAGCTGTCCTGGAACTCACTATTTAGACCAGGCTGGCCTCGAACTCACAGAGATCCACCTGCCTCTGCCTCCCAAGTGCTGGGATTAATTCACTACCTTTTAATTTCATTCCATTTATAATAACATGAACATTGAGATAGTTGGATTTAATTTTCATTCTGAATATATTTTACTATATTTAAATTGTGTATTAATTTCTTTAGTAATTTCTTAGTGGTCACTGGGTAGATTACGAGATGTATATACATATCTACTTCTTGTTAATATTGAATGAATTCCAGTAAAATATGGGTCCTTGCTCAAACATGTAGCATTTCCTCCAAAGAAATATCACTCAGGTGTATAATACAACTGAAAAATTTATTATTGTGTCCTTTTAAAAATCTTCCAACTGTTAAAGAAATTATGTGAAGAAAAACATACATGTATGTGTATGCATATATTCTTGCTTTCTTTCTGGGTTTCTTGGTAATTTTTGTTTGTATTTTGAAACAGTCTTGCTATTATATAGCTCAAGCTGACCTGGAATTTGTTTTGTAGCTAAGACTTGCCTTGAGATTCTGATCCTCCAGCCTCTGCCTTCTGATTCCTGGGATTAAAGTGTGTGCTACCACAGCTAGCTGTTATTTCTTCAAACATTGTTTCTGTGCTCTTCTCATCTATCTTCTTGAGATTTCATGTACATGCTGTTATGCAGGATACTGCTCCCAAAGTGTGTCATCAATATCTTCCCTAAAGTTCTTCAAATTGCCACAAGATGGACTGCACTTGGGAATACGCGTACTAGGCAGCATTGCTACATTTCACTACCAATCTCACTACTTTTACAGAAAACATAGGCACACTTGGATTTACTTGCAGAGAACCTCCCAATTCTATACTTGAACAATATTTCTCAAGAACACAGATGAAATGATGATTCTACTTCTATAACATTTTCAAAATTACAAAAGTATAGAAAATATATCCGTGAGCCAGGTGTGGTGATGCACGCCTTTAATCCCAGCACTCCGGCAGGCAGAAGCAGGCAGATCTCTGTGATTTCAAGGCCATCCTGGTCTATCTACATAGTGAGTTCCAGGCCAGTTGGGGGTACAGGGAGACCCTATCTCAAAAAGACCAAAAAAATAAAAGAAAGAGAAAGGGGGAGGGGGAAGAGAGAGAGAGAAAGAAAAGAAAGAAAGAAAGAAAGAAAGAAAGAAAGAAAGAAAGAAAGGAAGGAAGGAAGGAAGGAAGGAAGGGGAAGGAAGGAAGGAAGGAAGGAAGGAAGGAAGGAAGGAAGGAAGAAAAATATATGTGATTGTCAAGAAAAAGAGATGAAGCTGTGATTAAGGGATGGGCATGAATGATGTCAAAATTGATGGATAAAAAAACAGAATATATTTGCAAGCTTTTGAGTTTCTCAGATCATGACAGGTAAAAAAAAATATTGCCAGCGTAGTTTCAATTTGCAATTCTCCCATAACAAGTTGTGGGTATTGATTTCATATAACTTGAATCTTTTTCTGTGAAATATTTATTTCTGTCATTTGTCCATTTTTCTATGTTAAACATGATCTAAAAATTCCCATTCCTTCTATATACTAAAACCCCAGACCTCAAACATGTTCTCCTGGGAAAAAAATCAGTATATCAGTATTATGTAGTCAATAGATAGCAATAAAAAAGACAAAAAAGCCTTCCAGCAAAAAGCAACATTAGTTTTGGTATATAGCAAAAATTCAAACTAGCTGGGCATGGTGGTGCACACCTTTAATCCCAGCACTTGAGAGGCAGAGGCAGGCAGATCTCTGTCAGATGGGTCTGTCTGGTCTACACAGTAAGTACCAGGCCGCCTGGAGCTACAGGGAGACCTGTCTCAAACAAAATTCAAACTAGGAAAAAGGTATCACAATTGTTCTGTAATATGAACAGCCAGTATACTTAGAAGGGTTCTCTGCATTGTCCCATCACCTCGCCTACATCATTATCCCAGTATGATTTTCCTAAGACAGGGACTCACCAGTTATCTAAGCAGGGGGAACCCATAATTTACATCAAATTAAACAGTACAAAGCAGTACAAAGTGCAAGCCTTCATCAGAAAACCAAAACACCTAAGGAATAATTAAATTTCCACAAACAACACCTGGTCTTGAGGCAAGCAGCAGTTCGGGTATATGCTACCATTCTGAGGTATTACATTTCAATTATTACTTTTGCCACACTGCTAACTTCAATTACATAAATGTGTAAAAGGGGAATCATACCACTTCTCCCATCAAGAAATGAATGCTTTTAAATAAAACATGAAAGCAACAAAGATGAAAATGGACACAAAGTCAATTAAATCATTCCTCCTTAATGCAGTTACCACACAATGATCCCGTCACCATAAAATCCAATTAATCAATACAGCAACAGAAAGATGGTGAATCAGATTTTATACACTATCAGAGTGAACACAAAAATATATTAAAGTCTCAGTGGATTAAGATCGCAGAAGACAATGCAATGTTTGCATCAAGTCCTGAGAGGTACATGGGACAAGAAGAGGACGGGACCTACCACTAAATACCAATGGAACAGGCTAAATAAAACTGGAACGTCCTTAAAACTGACTATTGGACTCCCTTTAATGTAATCAGGTACAGCCTAAAAGCAGGCTAGTACTCCAGTTAAACCAGTTTAAAAAAAAAGGCCTAGTGACAACAGATTCATGTAAATGAAAGAGGCAGTATTATTCTACTGCTTTGAAAAATACAATTCTTTCAAAATTTGCATAGCCCTTATCTTTTTACTGAACATCTATTTCTTCTTGTCTTAGAATTTCAAAATATATCAAAACTAGGAGACTATAGCTCCCAAACAACAGCAGAAAAAATAAACATATGTCATGTGCAACACGTGAGATTAACTTTAAAAGGTAATATTTCTATGGTTCTTCCTAATAGATATCTTCAAGAGCCCTCTATTCATTCACCACAGAAAAATAAACTTTTGCAACTCCAAAATCTTAATGCATTTATTTCCATATTATGAAACTAAAAACTCCCTCCCTCTCTCTGCATCTCCCCCTCCCTTGCCTGTCTCCCAGCCTGGCTCCCTGAAGTCCAGGGCTCATAGCTGAGTAGATGAAGCACACATGTGTGCCCTAGTACCTCCAGGAGAGAAGTCCCACTGTCCTTTCCAATTCTTTCCTTGCCTCCTCCTTTTCCTTTACAGTTAGTTAATTTATTGGTGTTGATGACCGAACCCTGGACTATGATGTGTCAGGAAAACACTCTGCCACTGATGCAACCCCAGCACAAAAATTCTTCTAAGTTTTTTTTTTTTTTTTAAAGTAACTACATGAAGGAAAAAAAATTGTTTCATTTCATTTGAAAACATAAATGCTAATATTATGCTTTTTAGTTTATTAGTTTGGTCAACTGGTTGACTGGTTAGTTGTTTTTTGTTTGTTTGTTTGTTTGTTTTTGAGGTCTCATTATATAGTCCAGGCTACCCTCAAACACACTATGTAGCCTAGGCTAGCCTCAAATCTGAAATCCTCCTGCCTCCACTTCCTGAAGTGTAAGATTATAAGCATGTGCCCCATACAATGAATTTTTGTAATTATTTTTATTTTCCCCTATACTTTAATAAATGTTACTCCTAAAACGAATCAAAACCATTGAGATAACATTTTCTACTTTCATGTGACCACAAATCTGTGAACAAATGCTAGATGTTCAAGAAGTTTACAGTTCTAGACAATGTTGAGAAGGGTTATTACCTATTACCTTATAAATGTGGGTGGCCACAAAGATGAATTATGAAACCAGAAAACAAAAGGGGATATTTTAGATTAATACTCCTAACACTCAATGTTTATATATTTAGTTGGCCTTTAATAATGGAACAGATGTCCCTATCCATACCAGTTCTCTCTTATCTCTCTCTCTCTCTCCCTCCCTCTCTCTCTCTCTCTCTCTCTCTCTCTCTCTCTCTCTCTCTCCCCCCCCACCCCCATATAAAAACACATGCCATTATAGCCAATGGAAAAGTTTGCTGGCACTAAATTTTAAAAACAATACAAGCCTATGATGTATTTGGTTAACCACAAAGTTAAGATGGGAGAGGTAAAAATTTGAATTATTATTATTTAGATTTTAAGTAAAATACAACAATCATATTTAATAATCCAGAATTTTAAAAACTTTTTGTTTTAATTGCAGCAAAGTCCACTCTTTCTTAAAGTGCTATTAGATCTTTGATCTTATACATAACAGCACATGAATAGCTGCCAAGTGTAATTTTTCATCAGGGTGTTGACCCACAGATAGTGAAGCAGGCTTATTCTAAGAGAACATGCAATATTAAAGGTTAGTACTTTAGAGACTCACAAACTTTCTAAGCAATTTTTATGAATATAGAGTAAATGTATATTTGATACTTACAATGTTTCATAAACTTACTACTTTCTATTCTAGAAACTGATTTTACATTATATCTGTTATAATGATGACCATAAACAGCAAGAATAAAAATTATGTCCTTTCAGAATTGTTTTTTTGTTTTTTGTTTTTTTTTTTTTTTGGTCTTTTTGAGACAGGGTCTCCATGTAGCCTCAGCTGGCCTAGAACTCAGTATGAAGACCAGGCTGGCCTTGAACTCACAGAGATCCTCCTGTCTCTGCCTTCTGAGTACTGAGATTAAAGGCATACACCACCATGCCCAGCCAGAACTGTATTTTAAAAGTGAAGACAAATGGCTGGAGAGATAGCTCAATGGTTAAGAGCACTGGCTGTTCTTGCAGACGACTTGGGTTCAATTCCCAGCACACACATGGTAGCTAACTACCATTTGTAACTCCAGTTCCAGGGGATCTAACACCCTCTTCCCACCTCCACAGGCATTGTACAACATGAGTACACTTACCTACATATAGGCAATACACTAATCATCTAAAATAAAATTTAAAAATAAAAGATGAACACAAAAGAAATTTCATGACTGGAGTGGTGGGCTATTTATCAAAAGCACCTTACCACTAACTTTCAGATTCAAAGGCAAAATATTGTGCCATGCTTATGGTACTCACCCCTTCTAAATGTTTCTAAACCTAGACTTAAAAAATAACTTATTATCTGAAGATAGAGGATTTTTATAACATGTTATCATGTACAATTTATGATTTGTACTTTCAAGTTTTTATTTTTTAACATTTAAAAGGAACTATGTTAGCTAGGCACGGTCACTCATGCCTGTAACCCCAGCAGTTGGGACACTTGAGGCAGGAGGACTATCACTGATAGCCTGGGCAACAGTGAGGCCTTATCTCCAAAAGTCAAAGGAAAGAAACAAAGTATATTATAAAATTTCATGCCACCATAACTTATTTTCTTGTTTCCCCTACATATAAGTTCCTACTGATGGTTTTCAGGTGCAAACCTATCTTCATAAGAAATTTATTAATCTCGGTATTTAGACTATAACATACCATTATACAAAAACTAATTTAAACGGAATAGTATAAACAGATGTAAAATTATTTATGAGACAGATGTTCTCATAAAGAGATAAGAGGATTTCTAGAAACTTCACTTTCCCTTTAGGTTTTATGCATTAATGAAGGCTAAATTAACAGATCCAACAAAGCCCTTACTTTCCTTGGATGAGGAAAAAAAAATCTGATCTGAAATTCTAAAATTCCAAATACTTCATCTCTTTAAGCCAAATATCTTTTGGTTGACCCTGATTTTGGCCCCACCCTTAAGAGAACACAAATTTCATTCACCCAGAGCTCTTACCTGGCCCTCTCCAACTGTTTCAGTGTCGATAACCGTAATGATGCCTGGGACCAAAGGGCTCCGTCTCGAGTTACTGTGGATGGCAACATCATCTTCTGTCACTCCTGAGGGCAGTGTACCTGTCAGCTGAGTCACCACTTTCCCAACCATTGTCAGGCCACTTTTCAATGTCTAAATGACAAAAGGCAAATTTGTGACTTACAACAATATGTGAAGTCTACACAGAAATACACATGTCATTCCATTTCCTAGAGTAATTTAAATTCCTGTTCTCTTACAATATTTTATATGGCAGTTAACTGTCATAGATATTCAATCTGACATTCAACATGATCTTGAAATTTACATAGAAAATCAACATTAGTTCAAGGAAATGACATCAATAAAGCCCCAAAGCCATTGTGGTGGGAATAACACCATATTGACAGGATAATAATCACAAGTAAAGAGCTGTTTAATTTAAGGGTAAAATTACATATTAACAAAAATATTTCTTTTACTCCAACCCCTTAATAAATAAACCTTAGAACACATGAA